TGGTTGTTCACATTCGAGGCAAGGCTGATGTAATGGATCCTCAAGGCTTGTCCAACTGCTTGTGGGCATCAGCACGTTTGAAGGATGTCGCTCCTGACGTGCTGAAAGTCGTGCCGGCAATCGTTGTTCATTTTCCAAGCAAAGCTGGTGGCATGATTCCTCAAGCATTGTTCAACTGCTTATGGGCAACAGCACATTTGAAGTATGTCACCCCTGATGTGCTGAAGATAGTGCCGGTGCTGAGCCCCCAGATCCTTCGCAAATGTGGCCAGTTGGATGTACAAGGGCTTAGCCAATGCAAGTTTGCCTTGAAAGAGTTGGAGGATGTAGCGCCGGAAGTGTTGAAGATGAGACCCTTGATTGAGGCAAGGACACAGCACAAGGCAGACCGGAGCCGGTCCTGAATTTAACAGAATGACTCGCAAGGCTGATAGATCGCTTTCCTCTTGTGCTTGTGTGTGTGGATCGCATGTTCCCAAAGCAATTTACTTCCTAGTTACGTCATCACATATGGAGCATCGAGAACATATGCATGGGCACCCACACACAGGTGTGTTTCTTGAAATTGTCCTTCAGTTTCCAACTGCTATAGGCGTGAATTGACCAGGGTCCTGGCACCATCTTGAGAAGAGTGCTCGGCCGAAGTGAAACACTTGAAGCACCACTGAGATCTGAGTGCAGGAGCACGTGCAGTACATGCTGCTAGCGAGGGGGGCTGAAAACGAGGGAATGGCTGGACCTCCGCCACTTCTCAACCGTTCCCTGCGCATCGACAGCTTCACATGCGGAAATGGTGTTGGGCCAGTGGATGGACGCGGGTTAAAGCAACCCGTTTGAAGAGCCAGTGCGGCTAGGGTCTTATCTTTGGAACTCTATACGCCATCCTAAGTGCCATCCTACTATGTCAATGTCCAGGGGCAGTTGAGGGGTCCAAGTATCTTGAGTCATGAGGGCTCATCCATGTATCTATGTCTATGGCTTCACTCATCGAAATGCTTTATGAAGCTTTATGTTGGTCACTCACCTCATCAGCAAGCGACTTGATGTGATTTCACCCCACCTATCTTGGCACCTCACCTATCTAAATGCTTTGAACGGCTTGATGTTTTTGATTCCTCAACCCCTTGGCTTCGAGACCCACCACTATCCTCTACCTGGGTGACCTGTGGCCCCGCTCAGGTGAAACCCGCAGCAAGAGCCGTAAAGCCTCGTGCGCAAGCCCAGCAAGGACTTGTTTTTGGAGGGACGATGGATATTGGCCCAGCTAGGCTTTGTACTGTAGCCCATTCAACTGGGATTTTCGCAAACCGCCCAACCAGCCCGGCTCATCCAAGGCGACGGAAGCGTTCCCACCGTTTGGATCCGAGTTGCAGAGCCACGGCCAGGAATTCCTGTACTGGGTACCAGAGCAATACCAGACACTCAATGTATATCATGTATACTGTATACATACATGGGGTGGTTTCAGGGGTGAATGTATGGTGAATGTATGTAAAAAGCTCCATACATGGAGTTTGCGGGAATTGGAACATATCAATATATCTTCATTAGAAAGAGGGATGCAGCAACCCTTGTTCCCTTCAACAGAAGGGCCTAAAAGACCAGAGTCTTTGGCTTTGACTCTTTAG